TAACATTCGTTTTTTACTTTTAAATAATCTTATTTTAAAAATAAATTATAACTGACCAATGTATGAGACACATATTCTATTTATTTTGAACTTTTTCTTTTGCGAAATTTCTGTGTGGCCTGTCGTACAATGAACATATTTTTGTAGGAATAAATAGCACTAAAAGTTTATGACTTTTATAAAAATAAAGATCAGAAAATCACAGTTGAGTTGCGACAGCCACAGGCAGGGAAAGGGTGAACTGAATCAAACACAGTGGCACATGGCGTTGGATTGCATCACGAAAAAACGGAATATGTTTATTTCTCATTTGAAACAAACAACGTCAACGAAAATAAAAACGAAAAACGTATGTGTACGGATTATTTTGTATACAAACACACAGTCGCACACAATATCAAATTAATGTTAAGGATTCTTTAGGTTAAGTTGTGTTACATTTAAGTGACGTATTTGGAAATAAGTCAACTATAACCTTTATCGATGTAACAATGTAGCAATCGTTGGTGATCATTATAACTTAAAAATAAAATAATAGTATTTCAATGAAAAGTAACTAGTTCACGGAAAATCTATCTATCCATTACAGCCTAAAAAATTCAACTGCGGAACAGAGGCCTTCCCCAGTTCCCCATAGATTACCTCAGAGAGGAAATTTTGCTATAGTTGCTAACGTAACAGGTTTGGAAACCCGATCTTTTTATCATTTTGAGTTGTTATCAACAAAATGATGCTGCCATCTCTTGTTTTTTATAGAATTTTATAAAACGAGCACACAGTCCACCTGATGGTAAGTGGTTGCTGTGGCCCATAGACATCTACATCTATCCTCGTTTGCTAATCAAAATGCAGATGATTTGTCACCTGTGAGGACTAAAATGGAATGACTCGTTTCCAGTATAAAGGGTCTCCGGTTCTCTACACTCACCATACGAAACACAGAAGTGTTGAGCTGCTATTTTACGCTGGTATTCTGTGAGAGCGAGGTTTTTCCTCGGTTGAGCTGACCCGTTCGTGCTACAACTATACTACTAATATAGCTGCAGCATGGCTCTACCAGGTACCCTCTGTCGCCTCTTACGCCACCCACAAGCTGATATGGGGTAGTGGATATTCTGACACTACCACTTATTTCTTATAAAAGTACAATCTATGATTTACCCAACAATAGGTTTCCCTTTCCATTCGTATAAATATACAACCTAAGGATGTGTAGTGGATTTTTCGGCTCTTGTAAGAATCTTAAACGAACCGAGACGTTTTGTAATCCTTTACTTATATATATGTACAACTGGCATTAACTGTGTCAATGTTCACATATCAGGGTTATTTGTATGTAAACGAAAGAAATAAACAGGAAACAGGAAATAAACACAAAAGCAAAGGGCAGTAAAAGGCAAACATCTTTTTAGCCAACATTGAAAAAAGGAGGTGATCAATTCGAATGTATTTTAAAGAAAGAAATATATTTTTTATTAAATTGATTGAAATTAAATTTTCCATGTTAGTATTTTGACGAACTTCTAGTTGTTATCTTGACATCGTGATAAGTTAACCTTTTCTAAAAAAAACCGGCCAAGTGCGAGTCGGACTCGCGCACCGAGGGTTCCGCACAAATCCGTAGGTATATAAGTTTAAAATTATTAAAAATATTTTATTATATGATGTAACTAAAAATTTATGCTTTTCGGAATTTTTCTTTTATCTGTCCTGTAATACGTTGCTTCGTACCAAATTTTAAGATTCTGAGTTCACGGGATGTACCCTGTAGGTTTTGATTCCCTTGCGAATGTCGAAAATTTGCGGCATAAATGGCTGTATCTTTTGATTGCATTGGCTTATAAGTTTGATTTTTTTCACAGCTCTAAGGGACAGTAGACTTGAGTATTTGATATGAATTTCAGCTTTATACCTCCACGCGTTCCTGAGAAAAAGGGTCTTGACAGACAGACAGACGGACAACAAAGTGATCCTATAAGGGTTCCGTTTTATCCTTTTGAGGTACGGAACCCTAAAAAAGGTAAGTAATTAAAACTAAGAAAAAAGTAAAAACAACTTTAAAAAACAAAAAAGAATAAAATATTTTCCACACATTTTGATAGCTTCAGAAGTCGCTCATATTAGTGTATCGAGGAATTAAAGCCGCGATTTCAGAAGCTATTAAATTACATAGAAATTATTTTGTTCTCTTTTAAATGTTTGAAATCGGTTTTTCTAAGATTAAAATAATTTCCACACATTGCGCGTGCCCGTTCTTATCTGAGAAGATCTTGTTTACGTGTGTAGACTTTAATTTTCATAAAAGCCTTAATCAATTCAAAATTGAACAAAAAGTTTGACTTTGACCATATGAAAACGGAGCTTAGTGATTGTTACACTTTGACAGTTCAGTCACCGCTCATAAATTCTAAATTTTGTTTTTTTCTTTTTAAAAAAACGTTACCCCCACACTAGGATTTTCTCCTGTGTCGTGGAGGCAGTTTACAAACATAAATTGCACAAGGACGAACATCCAGACCCGGAACAATTATTTGTAGGCCATACAAATACTTGTTCCGTGCGGGATTCGAACCCGCGGCCCCTAGCGCAACAACTGATTGCTAAGCCGAACTGCACCGTATTACGGCTGCAGCATGAATGGGGACTCAACCGGGGAAGTATAGATGTAGGTGTATGTGGATCACAGCATTCTCTTACCGTCGGGTAAAGTTTTTTTTTATAGGATAGGGTAACAAACGAGCACACATTCCACCTAAAGGTAAGTGGTTGCTGTTGACCCATAGACATCTACATCTATCCTCAATAAAGAATCAAAATGCAGATGCGTCGTCACCCGTGAGGACTCAGATAGAATGCCTATTTTCCATTAAAAAGGGTCTCCGGTTCTCTACACTCACCATACGAAACACAGCAGTATCAAGCTGCCATTTTACGGTGGTATTCTGTGAGAGCGTGGTCTTTCCCCGGTCGAGCCGACCCATTTGTGCCACAACTATACTACTAATATAGCTGTAGCATGGATCTACCTTATATTGAAAGTATTTGGTGGCAGCCTCGTATCGTAATAGTTAATCTTTATATATAAAAATTACGTGTCACGTTGTTTGTCCGCGATGAACTCCTAAACTACTGAACTGATTTCAATGAAATTTTGCGCACTCTGTGCAGTTTGGTCCAACTTGAGAGATAGGATAGTTTTTATAGTGATAAGTGACACTCAATATTTTTTGAATACGAATTTAAGGATTTTTTATATGAAGGGTCGTCGAAAAGGGCAGAACAACGTCTGCCTGGTCAGCTAGTTTAATTTAATATATAAAAAATAATTTTTGGTTGTTCGTATTTTATGTGCCGCCATACCTTTCATTAGATTGTGATTGTTCGCGCCAAACACTTTCAAGGAACGAACGCGAGAGGGCGCGCGGCTCAGTGTCATACTGGTTTGACATTCGGTCGTGCGTAAAACGCCCAAGGGCAGTCAGTCGTCCTTAGGCAGTGCTCACGATTGGCACGCTGCCAATTAAGCGCGGGAACTCGGAATAATTAAGCGCGGACAGTAAAAATACGGTCTAGGAACTTTGTGACGCGCATTCCTGCTGGAGAGCTTCCCAGGGACTCATTTTGTTTGACTCAGAATCTGCATAAGTGCATTCGACAATATTAGCTAGTGCGGCCTCTGTATTCAAGAACTAACTCTTGCGACGCGAAACGGTAGTGACCTTTAATAAACTGTAAACTCCGTGTGCGTTTTGTGTGTTAACCTTATAACCCGCGATAGTTAGTGGCTTCTGTAAGTTAGTAAATCGTACGATAGAGTTAATTGACTGTCAACGTGACGAAAGAAGTAAGTGACTGTGGACAACCTCGAAAGGCCCCCTCAAGTTGGAGCGGGGTCGACGCTCGGGCTGCTGCCGACGGCCAAGGTCTAGGTTCAATCACCATCAGTCACACCCAGATACACACCACATCACCATTCTTTCCCTTGCACTACACAACCACATGCGACCTGACCGACTCCGGAGGGACCTGTCGCCTTGGATAGGTAAGTAAACTCCGCCTAATTCCTCTGCCGGTCGACTGGCCGTAGTATAGAACGCTCCCCCATATATTTTAGTGTAATTCGAGAGATTCCACGTGGCCACATTGAGGCTCGACCTACGTCTGCTCGGGAAGTCTTCAGCTCATGGGCCCCTGAGGATCTGATCCTTTAAGGGAGCAGCCGTAGGCCGTAACAGTGATAAAACTTGTCAACTTATTGCTTGCACTTGCGCGAAAGTTATAGGCATAGTACAATTAACTTACAGTTGATGGCGGGCGCATCGTACCGACGAAATGATTTTCAGCTTCAATGAATGTATTATCATTCCTAATTATAAACAATATGACTCTTCCAAACTTAAAACGATATTTCTATAATTATTTCTTCTGCGGAAGCAATGCGCCGAGTACCAGATAGTATTTTTTTATAGGATAAGGATGACAAGCGAGCACACAGTCCACCTGATGGTAAGTGGTTGCTGTGGCCCATAGACATCTATGTACATCTGTCCTCGTATGCGAATCAAAATTCAGATGCGTTGTCACCGGTGAGGACTAAGATGGAATGCCTCTTTTCCAGTAAAAAGGGTCTCCGGTTCCCTACACCCACCATACGAAACACAGCAGCATAAAGCTTTTATACAATTTTACGCTGGTATTCTGTGAGAGCGTGGTGCTTCCGTGCTACTACTACACAATTAATATAGCTATATTGCAGCATGGCTCTACCATGTAAATAATAATAATAATATTAATAAATTTCAATATTCTATAAAAAATATAACCTCCTTCAAAATATAAGCATTGTTGTAATCATCAAGTGGATTATATGTTTCTTTTGTTCCATTACTTCTATAAAAAAAATCATAAATACTACCTTATTTTTGCTCTATTGTCGAAACCCCTTAGAAAGCCTTTACTAAAATGTTAAAATGTCATAGTTTGAGCATCAGTAAAATTACCTTGGCTTGTTTGTATGCATCTTCATCAGACGCGACGGGGAAGGCCACGTTGAGCCTGGAGTTCTTCGCCAGCCATTCCCCCGTGCCCGTAGAGTAGCCGCGCAGGTTGGGATTGTACTCCTTAAGAATGTTGGGCAGCGTTAGGAATTCACGCCAAGTGCTGTCTCCACCTATAATAACATCAGATAGAATAGAATATTTTTATTCAATAAAAATGTACAATATATATGGTATAGATCTTCAATATAGATGTACATATTGCTTATTGAAAGTAAATTTTATATTTGTCATTGGTTTGGAAAATATTTCTGTCCTGGGAAAAAACCAGCAAACCAAACGCATGTGATTTTCAATTAGTAAAACTAGAAGGTTATAATATTGTTACGAGTACTATAGAGTATTAATTATGTGATTTTTTATAGCAACAACTTGTTAGTGACGTGACCCATAGGCTTCTACAACTGTCATCAATTAAGAAGCAAAATACAGATGCATGTGTCACCCCTGAGTACTGAAATGGAAAGCCACGTATCCCGTAAAAAGGGTCTTCGGTCTTCTACACTAATTATACAAAATACAGCAGCATTAAGCAGCCATTTTACGCTAGTATTCTTTAAGAGCGTAGTCCTTCCCCGGTCAATCCGACCCATTCATGCTACAACCGCATACTACTCTGTTAAGAAAGTACCGGGAAAAAATTCAATAATACACAAAATGTTAATTATTCATCCAAGTTTATTTTATCACCTTCAAAGTATGCTCATTCAGAAACGATACACTTTCTCCAACGAATAATCCAATAATCAAAACATTTTTAAACGTTTTTTTCGGAATTGAGTTCAGTTCTAGCTGCGATTTCTCCTTTATGTCGTCTACTGAATGAAAACGGGTGCCACGAAGTGGTTTGAGTTTTGGAAAAAGAAAGAATTCGACTGGAGCCATATCTGGTGAATAAAGTGGTTGATCAATGGTATTTGTTGAGTTTTTGGTCAAAAATTCGTTCACAATGATGGCCTTGTGCGAAGGCGCACTATCGTGGTGCAAAATCCAAAGATTTTCTACCCACAAGCCTGGCCTTTTTCGTCTAATTTGCTCTCTTAAACGCCACATAACGCTAATATTCTTTATTTACCGCTTGACCTCCCGGCAAGAATTCCGAGTGCACAACACCGCGATAGTCAAAGAAAACAGTCAACATTACTTTGACTTTTGATGGACTTTGGCGTGGTTCTTTGGTTTAAGTTCAGTTGGAAGGCGCCACTACGAAGCTAGCCTAGTTTACATGTCAAACTCGTAAACCCACGTCTCGTCAACAGTAAGGGCGCGTTCCGACGACATGCACCCGCTACGCGCACGCCACGCGCGTCAGCACCCGCGTCTAACTCGCTTTGAAATTTGTTGCATATAATTTGAGTCTCATGAAAAATCAATAAATCTGAAATTGCATTTATCGACGTTCAACCGCACACGCCTCGTCCACGCCACGCGCCCGTCTCGTTCCCGCTCCGCGCTGATCCCGCGCTCACCCCGCACACGCGCTTTTTATACAATTTCAGATTTATTGATTTGTCATAAGACTCAAATTATATGCAACAAATTTCAAAGCGTGGCGTGCGCGTAGCGGATGCGTATCTTGGAAACGCGCCCTAACAATGCGTTTCATGAATATTGGGTCGGAAATGACTCGTTTTAGCATGTCCTCAGCGAATCTTATGCGATGAGTTTTTGGAGAAAATTCAGGTCTTTTGGAACTAGCTGAACATGTTTCATACCCAAGTTTATTTAAAATGGTACGGATCAGCTCGTGGGACACAGAAAGTTCGGCGGCTATCTCTCTTAAACTTGAATGAGGAATTTCAGTCACTTTTTCCTTCACTTTTGCGATGTTAACTTCAATTGCAGATGTTGATGGCCTACTAGAGCGAAGCGATGAGAAAGTGATGGAACATTTCCATCACTTTTCGACCGCTTTTGAACGCTTTTTACCACTCATAAGCACGTGTTTTTGATAAATTCATTCACCGTAAGCCTTCTGTAACATTTTCAATAACCCCGAACACGAAATTCCATTGGCGATGCAAAATTTAAAACAAACTATTTGTTCGATGTTTTTGTCCATTGTGAAATTCGCAATACACACTAGATATGATATAACTAAAATAGCACTGTATTTAATCTAAATAATAGTTGTAACTAAACTCCGCGCCAAAATGGAAAACAGTTGTGCCAATCTAACAACAACAAAAAAAAAAAACAAATAAATTAATTTGAAACCATAAACAAATCATCCATTCCCGATACTTTTTTAACTGAGTTGCAGCACTGTTCTAGCACGTATAAATAAGCTATAAGAAGAGTTGTAATGTTATATATATATATATATATATATATGTATATATATATATATATATATATATATATATATATATATAATAGGCTAGTAGAAAGAAGAAACCATTAGCGGTAAGCGAAATGCAAGGAGGCCTCTCACATTCCAGATAGAATGACAATCTAGTAATACATGTAAGTCAATAAATATAGGTGGTACTGGACCGAGTTTTACGACATTCGTTGGGGAGACCTGTGTTCAGGAGTGGACTTGTGAAGGAGGTCATGATTCGATGATGATGAGACACTTATGAGTCACTCATATCAATAGGAATATTTTTTACAAGCTGTCTGATATTATATATCTGTCTGATATGATATTATATACATTACCTGCACACCAAGATACGCCTCGATACTCCACAATAGCACCAAGCGCGAACTCCTCTAGGGCTCCGCTGCCGGCTACAAGGGAATCCCCGATAGCGGCCACCACATCGATGTCACCGGGTCGCAACCGGTGAACCGATGTGGGCCGCTGCCGACTTCTGCCCCATGGTATAGAGCTCGCGCAGGGAAACGGTGTAGACGCCGGTATAGCACGTTGACGTCGCACGTTCGATTTCCGCGGCAGGTAGTGAATCGATTGCCACTGCAAACAAAGAATTTTATGTTATATTTATTTTCTATTAAATATTTTTTCCTTACGTGGTAGAGCCACGCGGCAGCTTTTGCTGTCGCACGGATGGGCCGGCTCGAACCGGGGTAGTACCACGACCTCACAGAAAACCAGCGTGAAGTAGAGGTTTACCTCTGCGTTTCGCTTGGTGAGTGCAGGTGGCCGGAGGCCCTTTTTACTGGAAATGAGGCATTCCATCTTAGTCCTCACGGGTGACAACGCATCTACATTTTGATTTGTAACAGAGGATAGATGTAGATGTCTATGGGCCGCAGCAGCCACTTACCATCAGGTGGACTGTGTGCTCGTTTGTCACCCTTATCCTATAAAAAAAAAAAATATAACAAGAAGGGATTTAATTTTATAATTTGAAAATGTATTTTATCTATACAAATAAATAAAATTGAAGTGTCTGTTTGTAATGTCACAATTAAACCGTTTTACTAAATGTATATGAAAGTATAAACGGTACTTATATTATAATATAAATACACATTTTAAAATTTTTGTCTGTCTGTCTGTTTGTTCCGGCTAATCTCAGAAACGGCTGGACCGATTTTGACGGGACTTTCACTGGAAGATAGCTGATGTCATAAGGAATAACTTAGGGTACTTTTATTTTAGAAAAATAATTAGAGGCTTCGCAAAAAAAAAAATTAAAACCCTAAATTACACGCGGGCGAAGTCGCGGGGAACAGCTAGTGAGATTGGCATCTGCCTGATAACAACTCAAAATATTGATAAACTGTCCTGTCACCTGTCAAGCGTGGCAACTATGGCAAAATCTCCCTTATGAGACAACCTATGGGGCAGATTTATGTTCAGTTGTGAACTTTTATAGGCTGCAATGGATGGATGGATGGAAGTTGCTTTTTTATAGGATAAGGGTGACAAACGAGCACACAGTCCACCTCATGATAAGTGGTTGCTGTGGCCCATAGACATCTACAGCTACATCTATCCTCTATTACAAATCAAAATGCAGATGCGTTGTCACCCGTGAGCACAAAGATGGAGTGCCTCGTTTCCAGTAAAAAGGGTCTCCGGTTCTCTACACTCACCATACGAAACACAGCAGCATTAAGCTACTATACTATTACTACTATATAAGATATTCTGTGAGAGCGTGGTCCTTCCCCGGTCGAGTCGACCCATTCGTGCTACAACTATACCAGAAATATAACTGCGGCATGGCTCTACCACGTATAAAATGCTTAATTTTTAAGCTTCATTACACAATTTATACGCCGATCTTCTTCTAAATTACATGGCGTGTAACTTCCTGTGAAAAGAATTGACCTTAATCGCCACGCTTGGCTGGTGGTTTAGCGATCGTACAGTACCGGACTTAAATGGGATGGCTGTACCGCCATCAGAAGCCATGAGATCTTTCCAGAATGTCTCATAGTCGCCTTTATGAGCACGACACCCACGGGACGAAAAGAAGTGATGGATTCGCCTACGCTGCCAGACCACCGGTCTGATATTATGCGCACAGACGTTATGATTTACTGCGTTATAACACCAACATTTTTACCGTGTAGTGGCGGTGTAAGAATATCCACTACCCATATCATCCCGTGGGTGTCGTAAGAGGCGACAAAGGGAAACAAATCAGGAGATAAGTAGCAGCGTCTTCCTAGTAAATACTAAAAATAAAAAATGCGGTTGCCAATCGGCTTGCCAAGCGTGGCAACTATGGCAAATATCCCGCCTATGACCAAATCTTTTGGTGAAGCCTATGTTCAGCAGTGAAGTTTAATAGGCCTTAAACGGTAACGCCAAATTTTAGAAAAAAAATACGCCATGTGATCTGGCCGCAAGCACAGAATAGATCGCCTTATTTCGTCTCACGGGCGGTAGGGGCTTAAAAAAAATTCTCACAAAATCTTGTTGCGTAGATAGCCGATATGTTACTGCAATCCTTAATTCGAATGCAATAACTGCATACTCATTACGACAAATCCTTCAAAATTGTCAGTGGCCTAATTCTAATAACGAACTATTGCTAGCTGAAATATTACAACAAGTCTTTCAAAACTGTTACATCAAAAAGCATTCAGCATAAAGTTTAAGTAATTTAAAAGTGTATTCGCTTTATAATTAAAAATTTAATTTAATAAAAGGTGTCTTAAATGGGTAATTGCTAAATGCATTACTGCTAACAATAATAGTTACTCACCGGTAACTACAAAATTTTGTAAACATTTATATTGAAAATAAAACCCACTGATTTCCTTGATGCTTCCCAATATAAATATATATTCCAAATATATATTTATTCCTTCCCAAAATAATATTTTCCGAATCAGAAGTACACAAAGAGTTCAATTTCAATAAGAATATGTTTATGTTGTCGTGTATATTATAAAAATATTTCGTTAGAAGTATTATAAAAGTTTTTACTTTTTATACGTACGTGAGGGTAATATGGTCATCCGATTAATATGGTCACTTTCTTATAACTCAAAAACTACAGCGTTGTTTGCATAGAAGGCTCTGTGATACGATAGCTCTCATCAGTCGATCAAATAATAAAGGGTCAAAAGGACGCCGCTTTATCGACGTCATTATGTCAGTTGACAGTTCACATTATGGTAAATATTTTAGTCGATTTTAGTATGTGTAGTGTACTTAGTTTTTTTTTAAGTTGATTTTTCGAAGTGTTTCTAATTATCGCCAAAGCTGGTTTGCTATTTTTTATTTATATATTAGTTATATAGTTATATATAGGCAAAGCATAAGGTGATCATATTACCCTCACGTACCTTATTATTTTTTTTTTCACTTACTATAAGTCAGTTTTTGATTACAATCCAACCTAATGATAAGTGGGGACAAAACGGCAAGGGATCCTACGCCCACTAGCAGGATGGAACTATAAGGGATCCTTCGACATCCCTACGTGCAAGCGCCCACTGACAGTAAATATGCAGCCGTATTTTTAGATGTAGCACATTACCGTGGAGACGTTGTGCGCTTAACGCCTATAGCGCTTTTCAGTACAGTTGTACTGTTGCATGCTAATAAAATAGCCGTATGTGTGTATTTAAAATGGTAGATAGGAACCTAGTGCTCACAGCAGCTTTTGCTGAAGAATAAAAGATATATATATATATATATGTAAATCAATATATATATATATTTATTGAAACAAAAGAGAAGATATAGAGACCTTTTTTAAGGAAAACATATAGTACAATAATGAAATACATTTGTTTTCTTTATAAAAAAAAACGTTACCCCCACACTAGGATTTTCTCCTGTATCGTGGAGACAGCTTACAAACACAAATTGCACAAGGACAAACATCCAGACCCGGAACAATTATTTGTAGGCCATACAAATACTTGTTCCCTGCGGGATCCGAACCCGCGCCCCCCCAGCGCAGCAACTCATTGCTAAGCCACTGCGCCACGGAGCCGTCAAATACATAATTAAACATATAAAAGTAATCCTAAATTCTAATGAAGTTTCCACAGATATCATATGCTTTGGTATAATGCTTTGAGAAGATTTTTTGAAAAGATTCAAAGCGGCCTTACCTGCCTCAGCATACCGAATATCTACATCTTAAGGCTGTCGACTGCCGCTGCCGGTATCCAAAAGATTAGCGCGTTCTTTAAGTAACCATTATCATTAACATTTGAACTATATTAATGTCACAATATTAAGTTTATTACTATTCCTCACCTTTAAAAGTATTGACACGCCGTCCCAGCCGGGCAGGCCTAGCGTGACAAAAGCCTATTCGCCCTTATGTTATTCTATTTGTAACCTATCATAGTAATTACAAGAAATGTTTGATTCCATGCAAATTGCCAATAATTGCAGTGACTAACTTCGACCGAAGCGTTATCTGTATTGCTTGGTTTGTTTTTCTGCGGTAATATTAAGTTCCCACCTCACGTTTCCTAACATACAATACGCGCTTTTCGTGCTAATGCCAACCCACAAACATATTTACCGTAAATTAAATCATCGCACAGGCTGTTTTACACGATGTTTTCAACATTGTATAATGGCGTGAATACACTAATTGTTACGTGATAGAACCATGCTACAGCTATATTGTAGTTGTAGCACGAATGGGTCGGTTCGACCGGGGAAGGACCACGCTCGCACAGAATACCAGCGTAAAATAGAAGCTTAATGTTGCTGTATTTCGTATGGTGAGCGTAGAGATCCGGCGATGTCTCTTTGCTAGAAACGAGGCATCCTTCTGAATTCTTACAGGTCACAAAGCATCTGCATTTTGATTCTTAATCGAGAATATAATATGTAAATGTCTAAGAGCCACGGCATTCACTTACCATCAGGTGTACTGTGTGTGCGTTTACTATCACCTATATAATTAAAAGTTTATGTTATTTGTTTAAGGCGAAGTAAAACAACAACAAAAATATTTTATCACTTTCAAAAGTTCATTGAAAACTCGTTTTTGTGTTCCGCGTATTTACCACTAAATGAATATGACATTTATTTTTAAAAAAAGCCATGTTTTAAAGGCCAATCCTCAATTTGTCAGTTTGATTTTATAGCATTGTTTTTATTAAATAAAGGTAAAACTATATAAATCAAGTAGGATTTACAGTGTAGTATGTATTTTAATTTCCTTTTAAGTATTACAAGGAAAAAGCAAAAAGGTAATCTTTAAAAATGTTATTTAATTGACTGGTCTTTAAAATATATTTTAAGAAAGGTTATTTTAAGTATTTCAAATATAAAATGATAACATTCTTACATGGTAGAGCCACGCTGCAGCTATGGCTACAGCACGAATGGGTCGGCTCGTCCGGGGTAGTACCACACTTCCACAGAATACCACCGTGAAACAGCAGCTTAAAATGCTGCTGTGTTCTTATGCTGAGTGTAGAAAACCGGAGGCCTTTTAGTTACTGGTATAGTGGCATAATATATAAGTATTCAAGGATGACAACGCATCTGTATTTTGATTCTTGGTCGAGACCAGA